CCGTTTGCCCGCAGTTAGCAGCGAGCGGCCGCAGGGCTCTCCGGTCGCCGTGCCCGCCGCCCCCTCCCGAAGGTGTCCCTAAACCTGGACGGAGGACGCGCTGAGGGCCGGAGTGAACGTTCCCGCCGCGCTGGTTCAGCCGCGGTTGCGGTCAGGTTCAGTCGTCGTTTGTTGTGGGTTTTCCTCTTGGCCTCTTTTAGTCGCTTGGAGAGCTCCCCAATTCCAGCCTCGCCCACGTGCGGTTGAGGGGGGTGGGGAGGAAAGCCTAAACTGCCTATTGGGTTAAAAAAAAAAAAAAATTACAGGAAAACAAGCGCTTTGTGATGGGTCTGAGGTGAAAGGTCAACTTTTGGCTTTCTCTCTAACTCGGGAACGGAGGTTTTGAACTGTGCCACCCCCGTCGGAAACCCTCAGTGCTTGCTTAGCCGCAGAATTTTTTAATATTTGGGCGAAGCAAAGGGAGAAATGAGGACCTAGAAACATGCCGTATTCCAGGTTCTCACCGCGGAGTGCTCCCGGGGAGAATTGCCGCTGCGAGTCCCGGGGGGCCATCCCCGCCGTAGCTGGTGGGGACCCGCGGCGTCCCCTCCTGGTTAGGGGCAGGGCCTCCGGAGCCGCAGACCTGGGGTCGGTCGCTGCCTCTGCTGATTGGCAGTGACCTTGGCCCTCAACCTCTGCACTTCCTCACGTGTGTCAGCGGAAGACACAAGAAACGTTCACACCTGTAGATAATTTTTATGAGTTTATTTGAGCTAAATTGACAATGGTCGGGAAGCGAAACCTCAAGGAATTGGAAAATTGGTCCAGGAAATGGAAGTTCTGCACCTTACTTTATACATTACAATCAAAAGAGAAGGCGTAAGAGGGTTACTTGAAATCCACTGGTCTTGGGTTAGGGAGGCCGGAGGGAAAGCAAGGCAGGGAACCTCTGGGATTGGATGAAAAGTAGAATGGTAGACACACACTTCTTTCCTCACCTAGGTGGGTGCGGGATAGTTAAGTCAACAGTTAACCGGATAGCAGTGATAATGCGGGGATTTGTGGTCTCACCCTGCTTGGAGGGTTCCGGAAAAAGGGAAATTACTTTGTTTTTGCAAAGGCACGTTAATCAGATATGTTATTCTAGATGCAAAAAGATGCCAGGCTTAGTTAAGGTGAGGATTAACCTTTGTTGCCCTGGCTGGTGTTTTCAGTGGTTAGAACGTTGGGCGGGCAGGTCAAGGGTTCGATTCCTGGTCAAGGGCATGTGCTTGGGTTCTGGGTTCACTCCCTGCCCCCGGTCAGGGCTTGTGAGAGAGGCAACCAATCCTTGTCTCTCACTTAGATGTTTTTC